AGGCTTTGTGACAGAGAGGCTTTCTAGAGTTGTTTGGTGCCTGGTTCTGAGACGACTGGGACAGAGGAATATTGATCTGGAATGTAAGCGCTTGATAGAGGCGGTATGGGGGATATGAGTTCTGGGTTAGCTGGTTTGCATATAAAAGTTGTGCTTGTTGGGGTTTCATTAGCTATCTCTAGTAATTAACGAGCCATGGGAAGGACAGTCTTCCCCTACTCAGCAAGGTCCCAGATGCTAGAGCATAAAGAATATAGAAAATAAGAAAATATAGTTAATATAGTCTTTCTACCAAGGAACATGCATTTTATTCTTTTTGGGGATAGGGCTGCCCTTTAAGAGAAGCAGTTCTGATTATCAACATTATAACTGCCTATGATGGTGTTTTTAGTTTAGTTTATTTTTACTTAAGCCAGAATATCATTATAAAATATTGTCTTTCTTTAGACATGATACTCAATATTTCTGGAGCTGCATGTCATTTGAACTTTGGTAAAAACTTGAGCTCTCCAAATGACAAGTGATAATATAAACTTCCAAAATACACATATTTCTATGACTAGTAATTACATTTCCACACTTAGAAGAATGGATTTGTTAGTTTAGGCAAAACAACTCTTTGAGTGGAAAAAATACTCGCTAGATAGCATATTACAACAGGTTAGTATTTTAAAAGTACACTTACAAGTTCATGTTTTGAAACTTGGAAAAATCTTTGTACAGAAACAGTTTCTACAAGTAGAAGATGGGTTCACATCTTCTTTACTGTATTAACCCAAGCATAGCTAAACTTTGAATTCAGGGGTCCCAAGGTCTAATTAGGTAAAATTTTGAGAGTAGAAATGTTTGTTGCATGGGAGAAGATGGACGTATTTGTGGAAAATATACCTATTTGTGAAATTGGCTTCATTAGGTTTTACACTGACTTTATTATCACTTCTCTCATAAACTCCAACCCAATCTAACCCAATCCTACCCAAACAAAACCACACACATAGTTCTCCTCACATTCCCAGTTATCTGTCCCTCCCGCTACTCCTCACGCTCAGAAATGTACCCATCCAATTGCACAATGCTCGAAAAACATATTCCTCCTTTGCTTCTAATCAATACCAGTGTAATTTAGCATAACTAGATGCTAGGGGGAAAGTAACATTCTCAAACTAAATCATATTAAGATATAAAATATTACTAGTCAATCTCCTTACCTTCCCAAAGCAGTTGAGTTAAAAAAAAAAAAAGATACAGGTGACCTAAATGAAATTATAATGGAGAGCAGGGGTGAGGTGTATATCTTCAGCAATGTGACAATATAAACTATATATTAGGTAATATAACTTTTAACAGAGAACTCTCAGGTGTGCATATCAACTCACTATGAAAGGATCCTCCCTGGAGACCCACTTTTACAATTACTTTGCACATTAATTGTTAAAAGGCTCTGAGATGTTCTGTGATAAAGAAACCAGTTTAACTATAAAGGTGAGCTTGCTAGTATTATTGCTATTTTCCACAATGTCTTTTTTTTTTTAAATGTAATTCTAAATATAAACATTTTCTCAGAAAGCCAAGCTTTTTTACAATAGTTCCCATGGTAGGGACAAGAGATTCTTGGGAGGGGAAGGAGAAGGGTGATAGATGCTATTTTTATGGGTAGGTGCTTTGTAAATAAAATACCACAAATTTGTGGGGACAATAAGCTTAACACATGACTAAGGATTATGTCCTATAAGGGTTACGATAGCCAGTGCCAACAAGGATACAGGGAGAAGGATGGGACACCTCGATGTGCAAATTGAAGTGTAAGGAGTTGGTTATTTTAGGTAACAACAGAATATCAAATCCATCTTCCAGGTTTGCTACAGATAGTCTATAGGCAGCTGAGGCACTCAGAGGCTCTCATTTTAGAATTCAGTGATGTGAAAAAATTCTGATAGGGACGATATCCTATGTCAGGGTGCTGTTTCTATCTCTTACCATCACTGTGCAAATTATCTGTTGCTTTTTGGTGTGAACTCTGTGGCTGCCTAGGTGGTGGCTAGAATTTGTCTTTTTCCTGAAGAAAGTAGGCTTGGAAGCTAGCTTGCTGGTCATTTACATGTGGGCTTCCATTGGCTACAAAGAAAAATAAGCCACTGAAAAAAATCATGCCTTTTTATAATTTTTGTTTTCTTGATTCATATGATTGGCAAATAAAGGGTTAATTAAAAAAATAGGGTAAAGGGTGACAAAGGTCTTGGTTTGAACTTGCTCCTTAAAATGAAAAAAATATACACAGGTTCATCAAATGACTCATTTACCTGACAATTATTTGTCTTCCTCTATTCTCAGTACATATTCTTTACCTTTTGCCCGTGTCCTTATAAACTTGCTATAATAAAGAAACAAATAACAAAAAAACATAAAACCAATCCCCCCCCCCACAAACCACCTTTGCATTCTGAAACATAAGATTTCTACCTAATTTGAAATTTCTGCCAATAATTTCACCAGAAGAATGTGCCAAACAGGAGAATATTTTTAGTTCCATGAGCTAAACAGCAGATACAGATCTGTGGTTGAAGATAAACAATCTGTTAGCTAAATATTTTAAAATCATGAATACAGTTTCCTTTTAATACAGAGCATCAAATCGTTTTTAAAGCTGAGATTGATTTTATCAGTAAATTATTTTTTTCTCTTCTAGTGGATAATTAACTGGTTTGTTTAAAATGATGTTAACGTTTTCAACTGGCCACTGGATATGGTGATGGGAAATACCTGTTTCTGTAGACACCCTCCCCAGATACAAACAGTCTGTTGTCTGACATGGGTCTTTTGCTCTTATCATATGCATTGTAGTTCTTGTGAAAGGAATGCATTTTAAAAGGAAGCTATTTGTAACTCCAAAACACTATTAATTCCTTCTGCTCATCATTGTCATTCTCTATATGATGAAGAAAGGTCTTAGAGATGTTTCCTTAATTTGGCACAGGATCACTCCAAAATCCTAAATAATGTTGTCATATGAATTGATACTGTCCTCTATTGAGTCACTTAATCCTTTTTTATATTTGTTTGACAAAATGGGTCATTGATTAAATACTATGATTCAGTTATTTCTAAAAAATAATGAAATAGAATTTTTTTCTTAGGTTTGTCTAATAAGAATCATTTAAATTGCAAAAGAGCTACCCTCACGAGACTCCTGCCCGTTCTTTCTATTGTAATGAGGGCACAAAACAATATTTTAGATAACTGGGACAAATTTTAGGAAGATTTCTACAAAATCATAAATGATCAAGTGCTGTCTTAGTCAGTTTGGGCTGCTATAACAAAATAGGACTGACTGGATGACATAAACAACAGATTTACTTCTCACAGTTTGGGGGACTGGGAAGTGCAATATCAAGGCACCGGCAGATTACTTGTCTGGCGGGGACCCACTTCCTAGTTCACAGATGGCCATCTTCTCCCTGCATCCTCAGTGGTAGAAGGGGTGAAGGAGCTCTCTGGGGTCTCCCTTACAAGGGCACTAAAACCACTCATGAGAGTCACACCCTCAGGATCTAATCACCTCCCAAAAGCCCTACCTCCACATGCCAGGACATTGAGCATTAGGTTTCAACATATGCATTTGGGACGGAAACCTCGTCTATAGCAAATGCAAAAGAAAAAGTTATTATAAATCATATTGTCAACCAGTCTTCTTCAAAGCCATCTACAGCTTTTCAATTCATGTAAGAATACTTTTTTTAGCTCTCTGCCATGGAGACAAAAGCATATTTTACTAAGACTTTTGGTCTCAAGAAGCTTATAATTTGGTGTTTTGTTTTTATCAAAGTGTGTGTGTGTGTGTGTGTGTGTGTGTGTATTTAGCTCCACATATTCTTACCCCTGAAAGGGAGAAATTTTTACCTTAAAATTGATTTTGTTGTCTCTTTTAGATTATGGACTGGTGGCTTGACTTGAACCTTGTGATTTATAGTACAGCTATGTGATTTTAGGGTTGGAGCAGGTGCTACAATATGGGCATTTGTACACTTTTGTGTCCACAGGCATGGCTGCATGAAATAGCCTGAACAAGGGGTAACTTAGAATGGAGATTTTCCTTTTACACATCATTGACTATTTCTTCTCTTCCCACTCTGTCTTTTCAAGAATAAATAATAAGCTTTGGTGTTTTAATTATTATGTCTATTAGAATAATCTAGTCTCCAATGCACAGCAATTTAAACACCTTTTTATTCATCAAGTTTTGTTTTTTATCCCTGAAATTATTTTTCTCAAAGATCAGTTCTATTGTTGCAGGAGGTCTGTATTGAAACCTTTCCAAAGTTAAACTAAAATTTTAATATGTCAGTAACAATAATAATAGCAATCATAACGAAATGAAAACTATAATTTAATATTTGTATTCCTAGCACTTAACATATTTATTATTTCCTTTGATATTCTAACCATCTTCATAGATAATATATTTTAGTGAACAAACTGAGTTTCAGAACATTGCGTCCATTTCTCAATATGCCCAAGTACACTTGACCCCAAACTTGGATTCTACCTATTATCGACACTGGATGATAGTCTAGTTATAAAATTTAACTTTCTTAGTTCTTTGCGTGAGGCCGGTATGAAGGCATCTTAGCAAATGTCTCTGAAAAATTATTGCTTCTTTGCTTACTCAGTCTCGAGGCTTCTAGATTTGGGTCAAGTAGTCTCATGCCCAGATATAAAGATTTTCCAAATACGACTTTAGAAACCCATTTATAGAGTACTGAAGATTTTGTTCGCTTGCTTAGGTTAAATGCAAGCCTGGAACTTGATGACGGTAAATGTCGCCAAACCGTCTTTTCAAGTCAAAGGAAGGGCGACAATTTGCCGTTGCTGTTTGGACAGGTTTTGCCAAACGGAATGATTTTTTGGATCTTGCCTGATAGGAATATGATCTAATATTAGGCTCTTCAGAGCTAATACACTGGAAATCATTTTTATTTTTGCAATGAAAATAAAATACTTACTTGGGAGACATTTGACGCAGTCATTCCCACCCTGGCTGGAGCCTTCTGCCCGCACTCCTATTTCCTGCCTTGACTGCTAATGCTCTGTGAAAAATAAGCGCAGATGAGAGGACGCAGTGACATCTGCCTGCCTGCTCACAGTTCCATAAGTGACACTTCTGTGGGATGCAGTTGTACTGATATTGGTCGGAAGGGGAATCCATGTTTCATTATTGAAAATAGCTTTTTTTTTCTTTATTGAAAATGACAATTGTGCGTCACAGGAAAGTGGGGGCTTGGAATGAAGACAGGGCCAGGATAAATTTGGCTTTTGTCCTTCGTCTGATCTCAGTTTGGATTCTGTTTGCAAGATGAACACTGTTCAACCCCCAGGACCACAGGGATTTTGAAAGGAGTGGGAAACAGCACAGGTGCACTGGGCAGTGAACAATCAGATAAAGTTGAATCAATGGCTGGTTTTGTCTGTCCTTTCAGGAGGACCTTTTATTCCCTTCTTCCCCTGCCTCTATTTTTTGGTCACGCTGTGTGATAAGTAATAAAATCAAGGAATTGGATGCCAAGACTTGGCTTCAGTTCAACCTGATAGATTATTGTTCTAAGTGTACTATTTCTTGCCCTCCTGCTGTGTTTTTAAAACATTTTTTTGGCAGTTATACATAGAAAACAAAAACGTTTTATTATATATATATATATATATATATATATATATATACACACATACATACATATATATATATTTAACGTATGATTTAATATATCTGTATTACACACACACAAGCTTGAATCATTAACATTTGTGCAGGGGATTTGAGTATTTAGGGACAAATTCTTAGCTTTTGATGGATAGATCAGGATAAAATAATCATCTGTTAGTCACTGAGTTTGAGGAAAGTTTAGTACAGATAAAGATGGTCTCAATATATGTGTTTCAATACTATGGATTGTCTTTTAAATCTCCATAGTCTTTTATTAGGAAGGTGAAAAATGGTGGTAATATTGACTGCAGAGGGTAGAGAAGGATGTGTGTTGTGTAAGTAAAATCGAGGTGAGAATGGACATGTATTTGAATGATGGATTGATAGCTAGTGGTTAGCAACTATTAACCTTTTATACTACTTTGTATCACAAAATTTGTAGGTTCGTCACAGGCTTGGAAAAAATGGGGACATTATAGCACTAGTCCATTATCACATCAGTGGCAATGCTAGAGATACTGTTATTATTAAATATTTTAACAATTATATACTTTGTATATATTCTACAGAAATCATTGCAATGCCAAGGCAAATATATTGTTCAAAAAGAGCAGATTTAGTTAATAGCTATTAACTTTATCAGAACTTCTTTTAGTGAACAACAATCTTCGCTTTGAAAAACGTCTACTTTTTGTTGATAATGTCTGTTTAATTTAAATATAGCATGCGATATTGTACATTGGAAATGGATAAAAATAGATCATTTGAATGAAAATAATTATGGTTTCTTAAATAAGAATCTTCCAGAGATTTAATAATAATTTTCATTTAAAATGCATTTTCCATTGAAATGTATACCCAACGATCTGCTAAGGCAGAGAGGATGTTTAATTTTCAGTGGGAAGCCTGTGGTTTAGAAAGTTAAGTGACTAAGTTCTGAGAGTGAGTCAGAGTCAGGACACAAGTCCAGGGTTTCATCAATTCCCTCCTGTCTTAGCTCTATCCCTAAAAATTAACAAATAAAAATTCATCCTTGAATAATGACTTTCCAATTAACTTCACATAGAACAGCTCATTTAACATTCAGGGTTACTCAGTAAGAGAAATATTATATCCATTTTACAGATAAAGAAACACAAACTCAGGAATTAACCTTCCAGGGTCACTGGTTTAGAAAGTGTTGACAAGAAAATGTTAAGAATAGTTTTCTGATTCCTAGTGTAGCATAATAGAAGCTTATTCACCTTGCAAAGAAGGCTGCTTTACCCCCTTTTTCTCCTTGTGAGAGCGTATTCTACAGTTCTTGGTTTGGTCCATGACATATGGAAATAATGGTCAAATTTTGGTTAAGACATTTAGCTTGTCTACTAAGGCGAAGGTTGAAAAGAATGTAAATTTGCTAAGGAGATAATATAATTAAAGCAGGAGTTTGGCCCAAGTCTTGGGTAGGGAGATGTGGGAAGCTGATATTGTAACAACATCAAAATACTTCAGAGAAGATCCAGCAGGGTGAATGTAACTACCATTAATTATACAATAAAAGCTACAGATGACTTGTATTTGAAGATTTGGAAGGAAGGGCCTTTTCTCCTCTATTACAGAGTTGGGGTCCTTTGTGTACCTATATAGAAAGCAGCTGAATTTGTTTTTGTTTCAACTATATGTATCTTCAGAGTAGTTAATTCCCAGGTTCCTTGCATTTGAAAAAAAAAATGAACTATCTGCTAAAGTTTTAGCTTGTTTTTGGATGTATTTATTCCCTTTCCCTTTCTGGATTTTATTTGAGTAGATAAAGAAGACCAAGGAAAACAGTTCAATACAAGCGTGCAAACTCAAGAAATAACTCAGCTTTACCACAGAGTTCATCTTTGGCTTTGAGCTTTTTACAGCCTGGGCGAAAAATGACAAGTTCACTGAATTTTAATAGAAATATTTTCCAAAACTTTACAAGAGGAACGCTCAGTGATCTAATGAAAATGATATTCAAAAGTATTCCTCAAGAATGCAATCATATTTTTGACTCTCTCAGTTATCTTTATTGAAATCAGAAGATTTAATATTAAAGTGCAACTCAGTGCAAGCAAATCTATGAAGGCCTAATCTAAGTGATCCCAAAATCTGGTGGTCTTCTATAGTCCAAGGACAGAATCTAAGTTCCAAACTAGGGATTGTGGGCCAGGACATTCCTAAGACACTCTTACTTCAATTTCATGTGTCTCAGACAAGCTTTTGTTAAGAAAGAGCTAGAGAGCAGTTATGGAGATTATGCTAACTGTTGAGAGTAGATAGATATCACTAAGATGCTCTAAGGAAGAGCTAGGACACAAAACTCCTGGCCCCATGACAGTGGAGAGGTTATACAGCAGAATTAAGCCAGCTTACCCAGTGGCCTGCAGCCACAGCTTTGCACCAGCTTTCCAAGTCACCAATCCTTGGCTCTCACTTGGCCGTGTCTCTGGCACCCTGACTTCACAGCTCCACCGGCTTTTTGGCCCTTTCTGCCCTTCACAGTGCTGCCTCTTGGATCACAGACTGAACCAAGAGCCAATTCCTACTTCTCCAGTATCAACTCTCACTGGAACTTGGCTGATTCAACCTTGTCAAGCTTTGTGAAGGGCCAGGCAGGACAAAAGTCAGGTCTAGTATATCATATTGATCACTGATTGAAGTTATATTCTATAGAAACAAAATGAGTTATCTAACACTGAGGTGCTCTTGTGAAAGGTGAGAAGACAATTTTGGGGGCAGGGGCGATATTTAGGCAATGCTGGGGCACAGATGGCATGGCTGGTTCACTGCATTTATATATTGCTGATCCAGATATCAAATCCATGTCCACTGTCCTGTAGCTCAGGGTTATTTTCCAACTAAACCAAATCAGCCTATTAGCCTTTCGCCCTTTAAAATTCACGCTGTCATAAATGTGTAGAACTTTAGAGCATCTTTGTGACAATCCAGCCTAAAGGCTATTAACATGCACAGATATCCTATGAACTGGATGTGCCCCACATATGTGCAGAGTATTTCAGAAAAAACAAAAACAAAACAAAACAAAATAAAGCAAAACTTGAATTGATGACTAGTTTGCAAAATTCATGAGCTTTTGTGTTCAAATCTGGATTTTCAGGTTTTCTTTAAAATTAGATGTGCCATATTTGGACCTTTACACATATGCCACAAATAGCTGGAGCCGAGTGGCTTTGGCGGCTCTTAGATCAGCCATACACTCTCTAGTTTCCTCTGCCCACTACCTACTGTCTCCTGGACATGGGGTACAAGAGTCTGTTGCCATTTATCATACTTCAATATCACTCAGCCCTTCACTCATTTATATCACCTGCCCAGTCCCTGAAACTATTGAATGTGAGCCGCCTGAAGTCATCCATCATGTACGCTTTACCACTGAGGGACTGAAGGCCCTCCGAAGTCAACCCAACCTTGGAACTGAGGATTAGCTCTGACTGGCTCAACTTCACATTCAGGAACACTTTTTTCTTTTCTGTTATGTCTTACTTTCTGTAGCTCTTTAGATTCATGTTTTCAAATCAATGAATATCATAATAAATATGTATATTAAATATTTACTTGTTACATCAATCAAATACATTCATATGCTGGATTTTCTTCATAGATAATTGATCAGGTATAAACAGTTTCAGGAATCTTAACATGTGTGTTGTTTTCCTTATGATACCGTTTTTCAAAATTGTATCTTTTCTTTTTTATCCCCATAGATATTTGAAATTTAATCCTCAATTACAACTCTTTAATAGTTATTTTGGCAAGGGTCCAGGGCATATCTTGAACTAATGTATTTTGATGAGATAAAATACAGCCTTATCTATCTGTAAAGTCTACATGATGTAAATAAATCATACGCTTCATTTAAATATTTAATTTCATAAAAAAAGCCATGGAAATGAATTACTTAACATCATTTACACAAAACACACAATGTGTTACATTTATGGATCACTGTGCTAGCATGGCTCAATTGTCCATTCGTCTATGCCTGACTTGAGTATTAGCTTTGAGGATGTGTTATCCAAAGGTAATCTGGAATATACACAAGGAGAAGAGCTATCGAATTCAGTATATAGACTTGGGGTTGGGGATTAATATGAAATTTTCAAGAGATACTTTAAAGTGAGCACAGGAACTTTCAGCTTGAGTGCCTAAGCCAAAGACTAGGTAGACTAAGAATGAGTCTTGTCCATATTTCCCCTCCCTTCCGCTTTCTCTCTCTCTCTCTCTCTCTCTCTCTCTCTCTCTCTCTCTCTCTCTCTCTCTCTCTCTCTCTCTCATACACACACACACACACACACACACACACACACACTAAGAAATAAGGTGCAGACTATTTAAAATATAAAGAAACAAGAAAATGTTCATTCATGAAACATAAACCATTATCCATATCTGTATTTTCCTCTCATGTTTTTGTTGTTAAGTAGAGGCAGTCCCCAGCTTCTTCCAAAAT